TATTTTATGATCGATAATACTAAGTTCTGCACACTACGGAGCAATCTGGCAGCAATGGACGTTTTTGGCTGAAGGAATGAAAATGTACGGATCGGCCTCACTTTGTTCCTTATTTCCAAAGGCCAAAAAGGCCTCTTTATTCCTTAAAAGTAATGTATTACTTAAAAAAAAAACACTGGCGGCGGTCCGGGATCCCGGGGCTAATGCTGGTGCTACAGATAGCGCTCCAGCTCCATAACGGAAGTATGAGATGATTAGCAGGTTATGAGTGTTGCGACCGGCAGCGCTTTGCAAATAGCAGGTACCATACCTTGACAGCTCGTCCGTCCCGAAAGTCTGCTGCTGTGATACAAAATTTCCAAGTTAAAAAACTACGCTGTGTGCACTGCGCAAGTGGACACTTGCTCAGTGCTCACGGCCTAGGACGGTAGGTTAGTATGGCGTCCATCCCGATTAAGTGCCTGCTACTGAGGTCCGCGCCTTGGCCATCCCTCGCCTGCAGAGCTTGCACCAAGCTTAACCGACTCGATACGGGCCCCCCTGATGAGCAGTGGCATGATCAAACAAGGGCGCAGCTGAGCTAGCGTGAGTGTGGCACGAAGTGTTCGGTAGGATATTCAGTCGTGTCGTAGCGCTAACAGGCAGTACAGTGTGGCTAGCGCGAGTGAAATAAGGTAGTGGCGGACTCCGTACGACACTGTTGGGATGGGATGCAGCGATTGCGCTCGGTGGATTATAAAGTGGTCTGACTTTTGAGTGAACAGTGCGCTGTTTGGAATTTTGGCCGGATTGTCACACTGGCACTTTCACATTGCCAGGGAAAGATTTCCGATCCGATACGCGATTTGCGACGAGGGTAAATTATGCGCGGCTGAGGCGGCCAAAAACGGCATTGGACGAGTTTTTTCTCTCGGTCAAGGTATGGCCACTACACGCAATATACACCAGGGAGCCTCGAGGATTATGGGCTAACGGAGGTACCCAATCGACTGGGTTTTGCAGGTCCGATCGCGTTAACTGAGGCCCATGTATGATCAAGCTACAAGCGGCGCCCTTTTGCATACTGGCATTATTTGCCTCTCTGAATGACGTGAATGCAGGTATCACATGCTGAAGCCGGTTTGAGTAGTTTTGTTATTACAGCGGGTTACCAAGTTTCTATACCGTAATGCAAAGAAACCGAGCGAAAGGGCAAATGGCTTGTCGCTGTTATAGGCACAGGCCTGGAAAGGATGAACAAGTGGTCTGTACCGGCACGCAGCACGTAGCATTAGGACATCGCTAAACCCTTTTCTCCTGCTACGCCCATAGACTGGGCAAGCTGTAGACATTATATTACCCCCAAGTCGAAGTAAGCACGTCCGCAAGCTCGAGAGGTCAACCGTAGCCAATGACAACAGTACGCAACGTGTATCTCGTGCACGATATACATTGTATCCACACATATTCCCCTCTCTGGCATCTGCCAGCGCAACGCTATGGTGTATATGCCCAATAAGGGCACTAATAAAGCGTTCAAAGTTATCTTTATGCAATGCAGCCGAAAAGCGGATCCTATGGCGGGCGCAAAGACGTGCATGGTGGAATTAGGGGCCCCTCCCCACTGTGGAGCAGCTCCATACGGAAGCTCACCGGGACACGAGTGGGCCGTCCAACCTATTTCGGTTCAAGATATCTCAGCACAGCAACATATAGTTATGGCCAGGCCTGAACTACAGGGCAAGCGACGTCCAGCCGGCCTGTCAGGCAATGAGCAGCGTCGCAACGAAGTCAAATGTCAAGCAATGGTACTACCAGAAAGAATAACCGTAGTCACTGACGCGTGTCGTGCAGAAATTGCGCACAAAAGCTTGTGTAGCAGCCGAAGCAAACCACCTACGAGGTCAGGAAGACTCCCATGTCTCACCGACCTGAGTGCATGCCCACGTACTTGCGCACTCGTCTCTATAATTGCATTCGCTCCCTGGAAAGGACCCCGGGCTCTTCAGGGACCAGTGTAGAGCCGTACCGTACAAAACCATACAGCCCGCCACAACGACCCACAGGCTGTCCGCCAGCCATTTTTGGCCAATACTGTTGGAGGGTTGCGTTCCATCTAATGCATAATGAACGGGGTATCCGCATTGGTATCGCTGCACTCCAGGCAGGGATTCTGAGCGAAGCCGGTCTTGGCCAGCAGCTCGCGCACGCTAATGACCAGGTTCCTGCCGGCAAGGTAGCGCACGACAGGGAATGGGTCAATAAAAGGCAATGCAAGCATGGTGAAAAAGCGGTGAGCGAGAGGGTGACTTAGCCCCGCTCTGGACAAGTATGGTCCGGGCCAGCGCTTTCTAAGCAGTTCGCCAGAAAATATTGCGACGGGAGCCAGGGCGTCCAAGCACTGCTCGGTAGTGTCCAAGCTCCCAACAGCTTCCCAAGATGGACCGATAGCCGCCATGAGCTCCCTTTATAACGCTCCCCGAGCTCCGGGCGGGCTGGGTGGGTGGGCGCAGCCTTTACCTTACTCAAATGGAGGTGCTGCTGGCAGGTGTGCCCCTCGCCTCTACCGTATCCGCACACATCCGTAATCCTCTGACAGTGATCCCCCCTTAAGTCCCGTGGACGCCTGATGGCCAGAATGTCCTCCTAACTTCTTTGCCTTTACCTTTACCTAATGCCATGCCAACGGAGTCTGATAGCGTCCCCGACTAAAGCTTGAACGTGCGTGCCTCGTTCACAAGGACCCTAGATGTTCCTGTATATTGTTGTTGGCTCTTTTGGCAGTATCTCATGCGTGCAACCGGTTGGGCGGCTGTGGCTGCTGCAGGATAAGCACAAGGGCGTTGTGGTGTACGAACTGGAACCCCTAACGGGTTCCGGAGCGCAGATCCCAGATTCCCTCTCACCTGTACGTCAAAGGCTGGCCGGGATTCTGCTGATGATGGGTCCGTACGACAGTTTGGATTGCGTTGGACAGCGCACCGTGGGCCTTATCCGGGTTGCCGCTTGGGCAGGCGTCTGCACTAGTTTCGTGGGATTGGCAGCCAGTGATGAGGATACCCACATCCGACGACAGCTGCTGGTCGCCGGGCGGCTTAGTTCCAGGTGTCGGCAAGTTGATCTTCAAGTCCGGCTCGTTCAGATTCTGCACGGGACAGTATTATTACTCCTCCTGACTGTACAGGCGAAGAATGCCAGAGGAGGGTTGCACAGCTGGTACGTGGCCCGTGTGCAAGCAAGGCAAGTATCGAGAGGCATCCCCATCTCTCCCGCCGTTAGCTCCGCTTACATTGCCAGAATTAAAGGGACGGTACTTTTTCCTCTGACCCACTTGCCTTGACAGGTTGCAGCCTGAGCCACCCCTGCCTTTTCCCGACGTCCCACCCGTATTCGCATTGGAATTTCACACAAGAATCCAGTACAGGTTCTAGAGCCGTCTAGAGTCGTAAAACGGAAAAGCCGAATAGCTGCAGCAAAGCGGATCTCACCCCAACGGCGTAGGTGGCACCGGGGCCACTGTTTGCATTGGCCGGTTGCCCGGTCGGACCGCCCGAGCCCTGGTCAGCAGACGGCGCCAGGCAGGCGCAGAGCAGCTGCAAAAGGCCCATGGCCGGCACGCCGCCTGCGCCCCCTCCCTCCTTCTGGCCTGGAAGCGCGGGTGCCGGGGATGAGCAGTCGGTCCGTCCGTACGGCAGGTCGTATATGCCATGAAACCAGTTGGAGCTTCGCTGTCAGTACCGACCTAATAGGGCATGAAATTAACCCGATGCTTAGATGGGCGGGCTGCCTTGCGCGCCCATGGCCGACAGCAGACAAATCGCTATCATGCCGTCCACAGACACAGAACAATAAGCTGGAGCCACATTCACACAGACACAGCAGCACTGGAGTTCCAGCCCCGCAACAGCAACTTCCCCGCACACAATCCCTGTAATTACCTGCGGTGAACATCTGGAACACCTGCATGAACTGCTGCACCTTCGCGCTCGCGTCCCCAGCAAACAACGTCCCTAGATTGGACCGGACATTGCGCGCATCCACCGGAGCGCCTCCCAGCAGCTCGCTCAGCATGCCGCACAGGTCATTGAACGGCAAAGCCCTACAGACGGCGGAGAGGACCGGGCCGTGTGCAAGTAAAACGTGACGTGAGAACGGACAGACGACAGAAAGGAGGCTGCAGGGAGGGAGGTCCAGGGTGTAGCTGCAGCCCGGGTGAGAGGGCTCCCCCTTTCCTCCACTCACCGATTTTTGAAGTCCCGACCGTCCGGCTGGCCCAATGTCCCAAACAGGCTCGACAGCACACCCATGTCAATCTGCGGCGGCCGCGGCGCACCGTCCTTGGGCCCGCTAATCTGGACGGTCTCATGATCTAGCAAGGTGCCGCTGTGGCAGCAGTCTGACAGAATGTTGTGAAGAGGTGGAACGGAACGGGGAGGGCGCAGTGTAAGGAACGGAGCACAGGGTGTGAGTGAGGTGAGGTGAAGCCCGAGGCTGGTGAGGAGCTGAGGACCGGGCGCGATCGGCCAAGAGGGCCAAGAGGGAGCGCAAGCGGCCATCCCTATCCAGTGTCCTCACCTGCAATAAAGGTGAACTTGACGCCTGGCTTGGCCTCCAGCGGCTTCAGGAGCGCCCGCAGGTCGTCATCGCATATTACGTTCATGTCTATGCGGCCAGCAGGTGCGCGAGGGAAAAGCGGGACGTCATCGCGTTGGGGTGATGGACACCGCTGTGGATTATTGCCTAACGGGCACTAGGGCTAGGTTGAGGGGCCATGTGGTGATTGCGGCCAGGCACAAGACCTTGAGTTTAATAGGTAAAAGCAGAAGCATTCAGGGACGTTCGGGACGTTGAACCTCCTTATGGTGATTTGCCTGCATGGGTCGTCCGATGGTCCTGCCTTGGTACTTTGCGGTATGGAGCTATGCGAAATGCGCCCCTTGCACGGTCCTGTGGCCCATTGGCTACAGCGATTACAGCACCTGCAAGCCGGAGCGGATGCCTGGGTGCTGCTTTCTCCAACCCAGTCCCTTCCCCCCTACCAGTTGGGCAGATCGCCTCGTCCTTGCCATCTGCAGGAAGGCATGCAAAACAACGGGCACATCTATAATGCTACTGTTTACGAGCAGCCCGTCAAAGGAAAACCAAGGACAGTCAATCCTGGCGGTATAACATTGTCGTTAGGATGGCTGTTGAACCGAGGATCGTACATTTCGCGAAAGCGTATTCAAATCAACGATTTGAGAGATTTCAAATAAGCTTAAAATATACGCACCCTTTTCGTCGCCTCCATAGCTTGGAATTTGGGTGCCATGGCCCGAGAAGTGCAAGACGCAAACATCGCCATCTTGAGCGGCAGCAACCATTTCGCTAATTTTAGCCTGCGCATTTGTACATCATGTTCACTTGCTCAGATCGTCTCTGTGCAATCGTGCATTCCGCGCGGGAAAAGAGGCCCCCTGTTCCGTATCGACGCCCACCTTCATGTTCTTCCCGGTAGGCTTAAGATACTGGGGATCCGTATCAATAAGGATAGTGATATCAGAAGGTCCAAAGCCAAAGAACTCTTCGAGGATGGCCTGCCGGTTCACGCCGCGACAGGGGAAGTTAGTCGACACAGCTTGACTGGAACGTGATTATACTTTCCAACGCACCTTCATTCCCCATACATCATTGATACAACCGCGGAGCGCCGCATTGGTGCCTGAAAGATCACGGGACGCGAGTGGGAAATTCGTCCATCTCCAACTGGCATCACAAGAAGTCCACTTGTTTATCCATTCGCACCTGGGTAATTGCACCCAATAAGGACTGCGCGCTTGCTAGGCATCCTACGGGCAGGCGTCCTTATTTGCACGGAATATCGGCGGGAGGTTGTCTCGCAGCGCGCAACAAATAGACAATCCTACAAATTGCACTGTGCGTTATGTAAACACCTCCCGAAGTGAACTTTCAGTAAGCACGTTCTGAATGTGGTTATGGCATAGCTAGAACGGAACTGTCAGCCGTACAAACAAGCATGTACATCATTTCGTTATGTCAACGGCAGATTCCATAACGGTCTAAATCACAAGGAATTCGCTTCCTGGCATTTTTGAAATGGTAGCGATTGAAGTTGCTAGGGGCCAAACGGAGGGAAGGAATGCGTTGGGAGGAACTCAGCAGCAGCATCCCCCACGGAGTGCTTCAAAGCCTTGCGCGTACATATTCTTCTGGTACGCCTAGCTTGCAGCCATTATGCACGATCTTGTGTGGAAAGCTATTGAGGAGCAATGTTTCACATGACATATGAAGGATGGCTCCATCGTGGTTGATTGCACGGGATACTTAATTTTATGCCTTTTTTCCGGCATTTGATGTCATTTTTTAGTTTCGCGCCCTGGCCTGGTGCTGGGCGGGCTGTCCCTTGGGTCGCTATAGCAGGTTCTGAAGTCAGGTCACGTACAGCAGCCCTGCAATGTCAAGTTCACTTTCCTGTGTGCAAACCTTGCCGGTCAGACCGATCGCTTACCATCCTGCTCACCTCCTTCTGTATTCTTGCCCCCTCACTCCCTCTTTCTAAGCTATGCTATCTATTAACATTCAACTGGTGCTTACTTTCCCTCCGGACCAGTTGAGGCTTTACTAGTGAATCGCAGTAAGGCCTTGGCTGCAACACCGGCGCATGGTAATCACAAGGTAAACCCAGGCTGCAGGAAATAGCATACGGCATACCCGGAATAGCTGGTGCAACTCTGCCGAACCGCACGGTTTTGTCAAGATCTGATCGACATGGGCGTAGTCATGGTGCTGCACTCAACCGCATTTTACGTCTATCATTTATTTATAAGGCTTGCAAGGCCATCGCGGTACCCGCAGCAGCGCAACACCATCGCTCTCGCCGCACACAGCCAGCAGCCACACCACGCCAACAGCGTACACACCCCACCACATGTAGTTTCTCCTTGTCCTCGTGGACGTGTAGCCCTCCCCCCCCGGGCCTTCACAGGGGGGTTCAGTGGCCTTGGAGGGCAGTCCAGGCATCGATGACGGCACCTTGGCGGCGGTGGAGGCGGTGTTGGAGGCACGCCTTGCCCCGCAGTGGTGCAGCGGAGCGACACTGATGCATGAGCTGCGGCACTCCATACAGGTGCTGCCCACGGGCTGTGCAGCGTGAGTGACAACTGCCGGCTGGCTGGGCGCGAGAGCGGGTCCGAGTTCCGATCTAAGGGAAAAAACACACCTAGGAGGAGGGAAGCCGGCGAGGGATTCCACCTGCACGCGGCATCAGACAGCGCGAGGTCTGTCACGTGTGCAGGCGGTCCTCCTTCAGCGCCATCGAATAGTACTCCTCTGCAACAGGCCCGTGTGGTGGGGCCCACGGGAGCTGCCGTGGATACCTAATGCATGTCGCGATCGGCGGGCTTCATCGCCGGCGGCCAAGTGTGATGTTGTCACCCGCCCCCACCACTCCGCACATCTGTGGTCCCCACCAACGGCTTTGTGTACCGTACCCCGGGCCTGCGGTGCACCCATACCTCATGCGCTGGGGAGTTCGTGGTGCAGCGCTGTCGCCTAATAGTGCTGCCTGCCATCCATGTGCCTTCTGACCTGCGGACCTCCGGGACTCCTCCATTCTGTACTGTGATCTTGTACGTGTGCATCAACTCCTCAACGTCCCGGTCCCGGTCACTTTCCTCATGCCGCTATGCGCCTTGCCATGTCCCTGGTCGGTGCCCGGGTCCCTGGGGGTACCTTGGCTGCGCTGGCCGGGTGGCTCACGCCATTGACCATAGTATCGACACGCTGCTGGGGGGGGGCCTCCGCGAGGGCACGCTGGTGGAAGTGGCGGGGGAGACCGGCAGCGGCAAGACGCAGCTGTGCCTGAGCGCCGCCGCTACCACTGCCTACCGCGGCGAGGCCGTGCTGTACGTGGATTGTACAGGCAGCTTCGCACCTGAGCGCATCGTGCAGATGGCGGAGGCGGAGGCGGCAGTAAGCTTGGGCGCCGAACCGCAGGTGAGCGACCGTAGGTCATGCATGCATAGGTTAAGGGAACCTTTCCAAGGACCCATTAACACACGCCTGCAAACGCCACGAGACCCGTGTGTGGCCTCTACGGCCAAATAGGAACGGCTTTGTTTGCTTCTGTCCTTCGGTAGGACAAAAGTGCAGGTACAGCATTTCTGTGCTTTTGCATTACCATTAATCCGCAGTCCTTGGAGCTTATGGCTTTCTCATTATGTTTCTTCGCATCATCAAGATGGCGAACGCCAGTGCCAAGGTTGTTTGGTAAGACGACGATAGGCGATAGCTTTCCCTCTGGCCCTTGGGTTCCTCATGGTGGTGTCCCCGGTGGCGCCGTGCACCTGCAGGCAGTCGAGGGGGAGCTAGCTTCGCGCGTCCTGAGCTGCATCTCCGTCCTGCAACTCTCCAACGTGTACGACCTATTGGGCCGCCTGGACTGGCTAGGGGCAACCCTGCAGCTACAGCAACAACAGCAGCAGCAGCAGCAGCAAGGGCGGCAAGCGGGTCTTCGACAGGTGCAAGTGCAGGGGCAGGGAAGCGACGGTGTGACCTTGCGGCATGGCAGCGGCACCGATGGAGCAGTGGGCGAGGTGCCGCGGGGAGCCCGCATAGGCCCACGGCTGTTGATCGTCGACTCGGTGTCGGCGTTACTGAGCACCGTGGTGGGAAGCAACCAACACACGCAAGGTGTGCTAGCAGTGGAGTCGTGGAGATGCCGGATAGAGGATCGGGTTTTTCCTGACGGTTGGGAACGTGAGCACAGCATGGATATGTGTAACTGGTAGCGTTCCATAGGATGCTTTGCAGTAGTGCGCAGTGCAGGGGGGCTTTTCACGTGGCGTGAGTTATTTTAGCACATGGCGTCAAGCACGTCCGTAGGCGGGCCCGGGTCAAGGTCCTCTGGCCCTGGGGAATGCCTATACCGTCTGGCCTTCACACCGTAATTTGTTGTGAACCTGGCCCGCTCTGGGATTTACTGCCGGATTGCTGCCGCAGGCACTACACTGTTGGTTGCCACGGGCCGCACTCTCAAGGAGCTTGCGGAGCAGCACTCTATTGCAGTTTTGGTCACCAACCACGTCACCAGCACCGGCCCGATGACGTGGGGCGGTGGAGGCGGCAGGGGCGGCGGCGGCGGTGGTGACGGTGTTGCTGCGGACCGCGGCGTCAGTGCAGCAGCGGCGGTGGGTGTTGCCGGCCTCAAGCCGGCGCTTGGGGAGCAATGGCGGCCTCAGCCCCATATGCGCGTGCAGCTGTCCATCGATGGGTCGCAACCGCCTGAATTGGGTGTGCGGATAGCAACGCTGACAGCATCGCCACTACAGGTACAGAGGGCCTGTGCAGCGAGGGCTTGCACAGTAGGGTTAGAAGGGAAGCCTGCGTGCTCAACTCGTATAACACGTATAATGCTCGTCGTGCATGCAACACCAGCCATTTTTCACATTTCGTGCCGCTTGCTGATTGGCCTGTGGTTGCTTCCTCCACAGGCATGCGGCCAAAAGCTGGAGTTCCGCATTGTTGCCTCGGGGCTTGTGTAAGCCGACGACGCTACCTATCTCATTCCGTTCATGGCGTGTCGAGCCGTCCACCGCGCGCGATGGACCCCAGCACGAGAGCTTCGGAAACAAGTCCAGATTCGTGATTGGCGAGGACGGTGTCTTTGGACGTCGGGGAATTAGTCAAGAGATTAGAAGACCTCACGCATGTGCATTAGGGGCGATGGCGTGAGGTTTGTGTCGACCATAGCTTCATTATACATAGTATGTATCAGCACGCGCCGAGTCACATCACTGCAACATAGGATGACCCAAGTCTGCACCTCCGTACACACAAGTCTTCGAAATCGACGACGCTATAGATGGCCGTACAGTTTAGGGATGCTGCTGCTCACTCGATACCACAACCAAATCCATGTGCAATACAATCTATGTGTCAATATCTGCATGCTGCCAGGCTTCCAGCAGCGGACGGCTGCTCTGCCTTTAAGGTCCCTCGAGAGACAGAAACTAGTCATTGCATGTGACTGCTGCCCAGTGTCCGCAGCGCCAGCAGCTCTGCCTGTCAGATGGTGGAGATAAACGGCCTTGCCACGAGGCTCACATGCAAGTTATGCCTGCCTGCGTAAAACCGTATGAACGCAGCAGGTGTCCGATAACACGTCTGGCGCCGCCTAAGAGCTCGCACGCCTTGGCAAGAGCTCGCACCCAGCCAGGGAAAATGGCATGCAGGACTGAACGGCTGTATATACTGCAAGTAACAAGGTGGATTCCTCGTCAGGGACTTCCGTTAAGCCCTGACAGAGCGATCCTGACGAAAATGCCATAAGGACTGGCACCGCAAGGTCAAAGCCCTACAAAGCCATGCCAGCGCCTGCCACCTTTCCTCCACCGTGACATGGCATGGCGGCGTTACTCCGTCACACCCCAACAACTCACGGCTCATGGTTTTACTTTATTAGTCCCTTAGTAACCTTGCGAACCAAACCCATACCAAAGGCCTGCATTCCAGCCACAATTCAAGCCTGCGACCACCACAACCCACAGGTTCCCCAATCGCCCTCAGGCAACTGGGTCGCAATTGGCGCGTTGAGACGAGAGTGTGCTGTGACCGAGCACGTCCCAACATCGTGGGCTGCTTAAGTGACTGTTTCCCCGGTACTACAAGCCGAACGCAGCGAGTCATAGGTGGTCGTGAGCACCATGCGGGGTCAGACCAGCAACCATATTGAATTGTCAGGCAGAGGAAAGCACGGCATAACCCACCCTCTCATCGCACGCCCGTGCGGAAAATAAGCAATGTCCTTCTACTAGCGGGACGCATACGTGCACGTGTGGGCGGAGGGGAACCACGTGACGTGTGAGCCGCAGCCTACGAACACCGTGCGTATCCATATCCCAATCCGCATTCACGCTGCTGCCCTTGCCATCGCTTCGTGGCTGGTGGGGATGTATGCTGAAGAGGCCTTCGCGCTCAGCGGTAAGACACGGATGTAAGGAGACGAAGCCGCAGCAGGTGCTGGTAAGCGGCCCACGCGCAACAACACAATCCAGCACGAGTTCCACCAACAACAGCACGGCAACGCCGCTGGTGCAGCCGCGCGCGCTGACATCGCAATGGGGATGCCCACCTGCGCTATAGGGCCTATCGTACTTGAATAAACACGACTACAACAACAAGCTCGAGCAACGCACATAAAGAAATAAAAGAGCACGAAGGAACGTCTGGCCCGTTAGCCTAGTCAGTACAGCCCGGACGGTGCAACCTCTGCCCGGCCCGGTCAGTCTGTCTGCGCTCCTATGCATGCACACATTAATCCATATCCTTTCACCCATTCACCGATGCACATAAATGTGGTTTCTACTCTGCATTCGGTGCTGCTTCGCCGACCGCAGCCATCGGCCCCACCGGCTTAGGCAGCTGCGGCTGCTGCATATGCTGGGACAGCATCGCCGGCAGAAGCAAAGCAGGCGGTGGCATGCCTCCTAGAGCCCGCTGCGCCATCAGCTGCTGCAAGGTGCCAGACGGCTGCGCCATGAGCAGCTGCTGCAGCTGGCCATGCGCTAGCAGAGATACCTGCCCCGGCAGCTGCTGCGCCTGGACGTGCGCTTGGACCTGCGCCTGGGCCAGCGCCTGGACTAGCTGAGCCGAGCTCTGCGCAGCAGCCGCCCCAGCGGCCAGCTGCCCCAGCGCAGGACCTAAATTGGCCGCAAGCGCAGCCGCTGGCAGCATGGGCTGTGAGAGCACTGCCGGCGGCAATGCGGCACCTGTTCCGCCGGACGCTGTTGGGGCCAAGGCAGCTGATGATATGGCGCCGGAGGGCCCCGCGCTCTGTAGGTGCGCACCACTGCTTACGGAAGTGGACCTGCCGCTGCCGCCGGGTCCCCCACCTAGGGTGCCCACACTGCCCTTTTCCGTGATCCCTCCCCGCAGCCGCTGCTCCACCTGGCGCTGTTGGTACTCCTTTTTGAAGTTGGATTGCCGCAGGCGCTTGATGTCCTCCTCTACCTCCAGACAGGGGTTCTCGTAGATGGCGCGCTTAAATGACTCGATTTCTGCCAGTATATCCGCAATGACCTGTAAACACCCAGAAAAAGACACATGTTTTTGGGTGGCATGGTCAAGTGGAACAGTGGGTGGACAGGGCTGCCGCATCTTCGGTAAGCTGCTCTGCAGGATGACAGCGCGCACGGTGCTGCTTCTAACGAAACTTGGGAACAACCTGTGGGCGTGTACCGCCAATAGTCGTTTATGGTATGTCTAAAAGTCATAACCAAGGTACAGAACTCCTGTGTTGTTCCCTGAGCGGCCATATCTTGCCACGCAGGCAAGCCGAAGCTCGATTAACTTAAGCTATCGGCTTTGCCGAGGAACGCCCCTCTTCCCAGAGAGCCCTCCTGTGGTTGCAGCTCACTTCCTTAGTCGCCGGCTCTGTCATCGCCCTCTCGTTGAGGCTCTCGATGAGCTTGTCCATTGACTTGAGTTTTCGGGAGGGCCATCGAGGAATCCCCAGGGTGCGGCAGTGCTCCTTGAGCTTGGTCATGCCAATCCCCAGCTCACGCGCCGCCTCCTCAATGTTTAAATGATACACCTGCTGGAGGCGCTCCTTGGTGATGCTGGCGATCCGCGCACACAAACCGTTGCGATTGGAGCCGCTGCACGCAAACACACAGGGTATGGCAGGGCAGCAGGTAGCGACTTGCTGAGGAAATGTACGAAGTGCTGCCTTGGGATTGCTTGAGCCGACAGGGGCCAGGGTTTAACGACCCATGACGTACAAAACCCGAACGAAAACCAACGGCTTTGCTTGTTCTCTCGGCTCGATCTAACTACACATCCGCGTAATGCTGTCAAGAAAGGATTGGACCCAACCAATGAATGCTTGCACTCAACAGCAAACAAAGACAACTCACGGCGTCCCTTCCTATGCATCATGGTCCCGCACACGGCACCAATTCCAGGCGTCCACGAAGCCATCGCAGCCCACATGGTTCACACCAGCTCACCGCGGTGGTTTGTCAGGGTCCAGCTTCATAATAGTGTGGCCACGGCCCCGTTGCTTGGCCGATGCCTTTAGCGCTGCACGGTAACGCTCGGTAAGTGTCCGCCCGCTGCCGCCACCTGCGGAGCTGCCACCGCCCGCGCTGTCATTGCTGCCGTCGCCACCGCCCATGATGCCATCACCCTCATCCTCGTCATCCTCCATTTCATGACCACCCTGGCTGCCACCCTCACTTGCCGCCTCGCTGTCCATGAGCGAACGGCGCCTGCTCCCGACCAGCACGTCATCATCACCGGCACCGGGACTGCCCTCCCTCCCACTGCCCCCGATGCCGCCACCTATCCTGCAGGCCCCGGAGGTAGATGCAGGGTGCCCATCTGGGACAGGTCCAGGAAGAGACCCCACAGAACGGAGCACAGCCGAAAACGACGCGGGAACGGAGGTCGCAGTCCGCAGCTCTCCCGCCAACGCGCTGCCTGACCCAGGCAATAGCGCGCCTGCGTTAAAAGAGGCCGCCCGCTGCCGCAACACCGCCTGCTCAGATCCATCCGCACCCAGGCGCACAGCTGGGCCCACAGCCCTGTTGCCGCTCTCGTCCGGGGCACCGCTGCGTGCACCTGGGCCCACGTCCTGGCCGCTGCCGCCGCCGCCAGCCCCACGGTCGCAGCCTTTCATAACCATTTGCTCTTCCAGCATAGCGGCCGCCTCCGCTAGTTGCGCTAATCGACGAAGGTCAGCGGACGCTGCCGACTCTAGTAGGGCGGTGGCGCCGCCATTGGCACTCCCACGCTGACCTGCGCTTTTGCTCTCAGTTCCACCGTTCTCAACTCCCGGTTCTGGCCCGAACGCACATGACGGTGCCGCAGCCGTGGAGCCTCCAGGTGTGCCAGCGGCAGCATGCTCCGCCGGGCCATGACCTAGCACCGCTGCGCCGAGCCCTGAGCAGCGACGTGACAGTGGTCCAGAGTTCGCCTCGGCAGAGGTGGCACGGACAAGGCTGAGCTTGCGGCTACCCTTAGGTGCGGGCGATCGAGCCGAGCGCCGGCCGGTTGTCACGCTGCAGCCCGGCTGCCACTCCGTCGGCAGGGAAGCGGCCTGGGAAAACGCGGATTTTAGGGGTCCGTTGACGGCTGCGGACGCGGTGTCGGCCAAAGGCGGCATGATCCCGTCAATAGAGCCACTGAGCTGACCGGGGAGGGGTACGGAGAATGGCGTCATGGAACTGGCATTTGGAAGGATGGTTGGGGCCGGGACCTCCCGCTTGACGGTTGGGACCAGCGGCGGCATCGCCAGCAGCGAGGTGACGTTAACGGGGCCCCCAGCAGCGTCCATCGAGCCCTCCATCGCATCCCGTTCCACCTGCAGAGGAGAACGGAGATGGCCAGGAGCGCTCATGGTCAAGAAACCCCATACGTCTAACTCCTCTTTAAAGTATGACTTTGTGAGCGGTGCTTTCAGGATTAGCAATTCTGGGTGAGATAGCGCATAAACAACACGTCCTTAAGAAACAGCATAGTCTCGAACTCAGTCAGTTGTCAGGTCATGTCCGTTGGCTCGTGACTTTGCATGCAAGCATGCATCCGGCCCCGCCACGACAAAAAACATCCAGCCCAGCTAGAAAAAATGCTCACAGGTACCTTTCACATCGCCGCAGCCCTACCTTATCCAACAAAGGAGCCGTTTCGCCGCATGACTCGTTGCGAGGCCGCTTCATGTCATAAGGTCTATCTGAGTCGCAACCGTTGTCACTCGGGAGCTCGCGCTTGGCCGCGGAAGTGTGATTAGCCTCCGCGGCGGCGGAAGATGCAGGTGCGGGTTGCGTGTTTGGGTTTTCGTGTTGCGATGGCTGCTGGGCACCAGTCGCCAACTTCCGCCGAAACCCAGACGACTGCAGCGCCGCATGCGCGACCTCCACCAGCCGCGCTGGTGGCAGCAGCTCGCTGTGTGGACGCCACAATGGCTTATCGGAAACAGGTAGCTTCTCCGCAGCCGCCAAAGGGCGGAGAAGCTCGCCGCAAGCAGGTGGCTCGTCGCTTGCTATCGCGCACGTCATGTCTGACACTGTGTTGTTCATGTGCATGGCTGCTGGATTTAAAGATGCGGCAGCAAATGCGAAAGAATCTCCGGCCGATATTGATGCCTGCATGTCGGCAAGGGTGCTGGGCTGGACAGCAAGAGAAGCGCTCGTCGCGACCCCAACGAGCGCAACATTTGCTTGAAATTCAGCGGCATGAAATGCTGTTGAACCGTTGGACTCCATTTCATAACGTGGCTAGCCCAGAAGGCGCCTTGCAACGGTGGGCCGGGGCACAGGAAGGAGGAGCGTCGGCGAATCGTGGATCCCTGGGGTTGCGAACACGCATTTGCAGGATACAGCACAAAATCAACGCAAACGAATCGTGTCTCGTGTTTGCCTATGGGAGAGGAACCAGCGGGGGCAGGTGAGCGGTCACGCGCGAACAAAATTCACCTGCGTACACGCCGTCAATCGTAGAAGAGCTCACGAGTCTCTCATTTGTATGGTATGCGTACTACTATGGTGGGAACGAGCTTCCAGCTCCCTAAGACGGAGCCGACACTCCCCCGCTACGTGCGAGACTCCTCGCGGCTCGTTCCTACGCCATACAGCTATGTACACGTTATAAAATACGAGACAGGAAATCTAAGTTAAGCTTAGTGCAGCTGTCAGCTAGAAGCAACTAGTTGGTGCAAGACTAACTTGAAGCCGGATAGCATCGCAAATTTTAGAGACATGTCTTGACGATTAGGAACATGTGCTGTGATGGATTCACAAAACGCTTACTGAGATTGGGAGTAATCTTACCAAAACAGACCTTGTACAACCGACGTTCGAACTACTCTTCGGCTTGCCATCTTCCATCCACAACTGTAGTTATCTATCTTTTTCTGAATAGGTCTGTGCACCATGTCGCATCACCAAAGCCTTGCCGCCGGACATGCACGCGTCCTGGCAAACAGCTCGTTAACTTGTTCTCGGTTCGTTCGCGGACGTCGCGTATGTCATCAGACACAACCCACTTCTTTGAGATGCCGGCATCAATTGGACCGCTTCGCTTTGCTTGCTTCTGCCAACGAACCCATCACAAGTGCAAGCAATGGAGCGGTCTTGGACAAACGCTCAGGGCGCATGACCTACAAACCGCTATCATACGGTGAAATGGTTAATGATGCGGTAGACTCCGTTGTGTCAGCGATCGGCGATAACCTGAAATGGTTGGAGGTGGAGTTCCCAGCTTTGCCAACCAATGTGGACGGTACGCGCCGCACCTGCGAACTGGCATTTAATAATTAACGGGTTGCCAGACTGCAAAATTTTGTGCTTTTGTCAGTTTTGTTGGCGCGGCGTGTTGCTGTGGTAGCTAACCCGTCGGCTTGCGTCCTCACATGGCAGGTTACAAGGGGTCATCGGACCTTTTCATCGACTCCAACACACAGCTTGCGCTTGCGGGCGCTAGGCGGGTGAGGCAGCGCTTCGTTGTATATAGTATACCCAAAAGAGCTTACACATCGGAGCAACGTAGGGTTTTCCATCTGCTTCACGAAAGTGTTGCCTGCATGACAACCATCACAGGCTAGGGGTCCCGGCATTTCAACGGCGGGGGAAGCCTGTTAATGTTTGTGAACCGCCCTGCGGCTTGTGAGCTTGGCAAACAAGAGACGCCACGGCCATTCCAGGGCCTGCATCATAGGTTGACCTGGTCATAAGTTAAAAGGTTGAACGTTAAGCATCCAAGTGGCAGGTGCTAGTAAAAGATCCTCGTGCTGGCAGCTGCGCTGTGAACGACCACGCACACGAGGAAGACCGAATGCCAGGACCGTACCCTCCCTGAGTGCTCCCAATGCCCTGACTTTAAGGCGCCTGTTTGGTTATGCTCTGCTTCGCTTCATTGTCCATGCTGTTTGCTCCCAGTTGGCTGCCAGGGGTCGCAAGGTGCACATCGTGCTGCCGGATGGCGGGGAATACGCTCGCACCTGCCGCATGTGAGTAGAGCTAGGCAAGGAAGGTTATCAACGCTTGTATATACGACCATTTACGACGGAAACTGCGCTTATGCAGCGCTGTCCTTGCAGCATACACGCATAAGCCCGGGACACCATCACCCAGGAACGGGCGTTGCATAAGATGCCGACTATTAACCCAAATACATAGGAGGGGATCCACAGGGCACTGCAACATACCGTCCTCACGAAGCCTTCTTGGCCATCGTTGCTCCAGGAAAGACAGCGGGCGCGCAGTTGCGAGTGCTTGCTGCAGTTCACACCTGCTCATGACTCCTCAAGGCCATACCACTCCTCCAAATTTCGTTCCGTCGGCCCATACTCCGTGTCCCTTCCACCCGCCATCCCGGCATTTGCGTGTGCAGCTTCAAGAACTCCATTCAGCTGGCTGAGGGTGTCACGGTGGGACACCTCAAGGAGGGTAGCCCTCCCAATCCGCTATCGGCTCTGTTTGGAGGCGGTGCGCCCAGCAGCAAGGAGGCCGGCGAGCAAGCGGACACGTACATCTTCATCAACGCGACCTGCATTGAGTTGCTCAACGTGCGAGCATATGTTGATAAGGCAAGTATTATCGTCGCAATAGCCATAAGGACGAACACAATTGGCTTAGCGAGTGCAGCCTGGGTGGCGCCCTGCTGGTTAGTGGCCATGCGCCACGGTTAGACGCACAGCCCGAGATGTGCGTCTGATGGTATCTTCGAGGTGCCTGAGGATTGGTTGGTTGAACATTCAACCACATGCCAGCAGACGTTTTCATGCGACATGCGAGGACGAAACACTTGCGACCAATAGCGACTCCCAACCCTTTCATTGCGGGGTCCCCTTCATACACGCCGGGATTAATGGTCCTGGAGTAAACTTCACTCTTTTTAAGTGTTGAGGAGGCAAGTGGGGCCTCGGACTCATGGCTGGCTTTTGGCCAACGTGTGTGTGTGTGTGTCGGGGAGGGAGGAAGAACTGCTGCTTCGTTATTCCTCGGCATTTGCGAAACCGGGTTTGGGGGTTCCAGTGTGTTTACCCACACTATCCCCGTGGGCCTGCACCCCTTCAGATGGTCGCCGACGGCGGTCAGGACAAGGTGTTCATTCTGTGGAATATGGAGCTCGACACGCTGCGAGGTGACTTGGGGCTGCCGGCGTTCCCTTCCAAGGACATGCACTACCAGTTCCTGTCGCGAGTGCGGCCCGTCTTCTACCTGCGTCCCCGCGACTACTCAAAATCCGTGCCAGTGCCGCCCTTCATCGTTAACTACAGCGGCGCGCTGTTCCGGGAGTACCCAGGGCCCTGGCAGGTGCGTTCCGCAGACGGGCTGTGAATCAGGAGATCTGCCTCGTGTTGGTCGGCATCCGGAAGCAAGGGGGAAGAGGCGTTTGCGGCAGCCTATGGTGACGGGCTGACTGCGTGCAGCTGCCCAAAGGCTGCACGCCTCTGATGACGCGACATGTGTTGAAAGCGCGCCACCTGTTGACCTCTTGGCTTTGGGAATGTTGCCGCTAAGGTGCCTGGCTGCCGTGTCCTCAGTCGCGTGCAGGAACAGGTCCGAACCTGGCCAAACCCCGACGTCCTTGCCGTTTCATAAAACCTGCAGGTAATGCTCAAGCAGGACGGGGGCGAGTACGCATGCATTGCCGAGGATCGGGCTCGCTACAATCTGGGTAGGTCGTTGCGGAACCCGGCCTGCAGAAGTGCATAGCTTTAATAGCGTCGGATGGGGTTCGCCCGGCAGCGTGAAGTCACACAACATGTGCCGTGTAAGATAACGCTAAACCAGCCCATGGGGTCTGCGCGTGGGAAGTATGGCCTTGTGCCAGCCTTTTCCCGATGCTTGCATGAGGGCAACTGTCTCCTCCTAGGGAATGCATGCCCTTGCTTGATCTTGACTTGAATGCTCCCTGCCACTGCATTCAGGTGAGGTAAAGGAGGAGCTCACTGTGGCCATGGGGCTGGCAACGGAAGCTGAGGGGAGCGCAATGCAGTTCCTGCGCCGTGGTTACAAGACCAGCACCTGGTACGAGGATGACTATGATCTGGAGCAGAGCCACGAGTGGAGGTTGTAAGGTCGCGGGCGTGACGCACGGTGGTGGCTAAGCACGCCGCTTTGGATTGGCGTGACTTTTCTGGATTTTTCGTACATTTGAGAGATACCTGAGCGAGAGTGTTGGGCAGTTTGGTTTACATGCAGGGCGCGAGAGGAAGCTTGTCGTAGGGTTTGGAATGGGGTAAAGGTCGTCGGGTGCAATGATGGAAAGGGGAAGGCGCGCGGTAGCGAATTTTTTTCCTTGTTTTGCAACATGGGATCGCCCTTGTTCTCTGCAGTGGCAAGGTTGCATTATACTGCAAGCGAGCCCTGTACTCCTATGGATGTCCCGAGTAAGGAAACTATCTGGAAGGGGACCTGGGCGCTCCCTGGGCGCCCCCTGCCTTGAAAAAAGGAAATGAAACGAACAGAACCAGGAGGTTACGATCGCAAGGTGTGGCGTAGCATTCCCGACCCTTCCAGACTGACGGAGCAAACGTATTGGCGGGCTGATATACCCTAGCTAGTTTACCAACCTCAACACCTGAACTGAGATGAATGACTGAAAGCTCCGAAATAAGCCAATAAAGGTTGTAATTCTGAAGATGTTAATCAACATCTTATATAATTATACCGGCCAAACACGCAGACCAGGGGGAAACCCTGATGCAGACTGACCGCACAACATTTAGTTGTGCCGTAGCAGTCCTAAACAACGGCAGTCCCTGACACCCCAGAACAGCGGCAGGTGCTCGCTGTAAACTGCTGCTGTATTTTTGTGCGCTACTACCCCGTCAAAATCTATCTATGTTGGGAACCTTTGACCGTACAGGAGAACACGGTTCATTATATTGGCACGCGGACAAAAATTCCGTACCCTGTAGAGCAGCTTGTGTAATGGGTTGATAGAACGTCGTTGTAATTGGTAAAGCTTCAAATGGATTACTTAGGAAGCAGTTTATTGCTATTATTAGGCCGTTTCGCTACAGGACTGGTAAAATTTATAGATCAAAGTCTGAATACAGTAGCCTGTATGTCAAGCCTAACGGCAGAAACGTGCCTACCGCATACGAGATGCAGCCTTGCTTCTGACTGCTTCCAAGGCCAGCACTGCCAGGACTGCCAGGACTGATGCCCCCGGTACCTTGTCTATTGCCCTGAGCTCCAAAACAGAGAGACGTGCTGGGATATAGTAGGGACGATTATTGGCGACCTCGGACCTTTTTGTCTTGTGACCCCTGGGACAGGTTGGGACGTTTAAGTGCACACATGCTTCGTTTATTATTCAGCGTAACTCCTTACAGCATTATAGTTGCCAGTAGCAATGAATCTGCTTCCATAGTTTCTGTTTTGCATCTTTTGCTAGGAATTAGTTACTCGGGTTGCTCCAAGCAAAGGTCGCTGCGCGTTTTTAGGCAAATCTTAACCCATACATTGAACAATCGATATGAGCTCAATCCTCATGCAGTTCAGCGGCAACATGGATGAATGTTAATGAAACCCATGCTTTTGAACGCACCGTTTGTACGATGCTGGCGGGAACCACCTCCATCTATCCTTGTATATTCGCATTGTTAAAACAAAATAGAGCCACTGTTAGCTGTGATTTTTGGCAAACATGCTGCTGAACAAACTAAATGCGCGCTCCAGCGCTCCGGTGCGACAGCTACATAGCTTTAGTCGCCACACACCTTCTTCCTTCCGGAAACGGAATATCCACATCGCGCACTTTCGCCAGGGTATCTCAATTGACCTGCACAACTCAATTGTTCGGCTTCCGCTCGAGGGACAGGAGGTTGGTCTACTCCATCAGGGGGAATGCGATATAGGCCAAACCGCTATACCATCGTGTTTCCACGCCCAGAATTGAATTTATCTGTGCCTTCTTGCAGCTGTTGGGCCTTCGTAAGGACGAGCTGGTTAAGGACAGCGAGCTTAACACCGTGTATGAGCAGCTTGTTGGCGCTGGCATGGAAGCAGCTTACAGCGAAAGTGCTGTGAATGGCAGGTCGGTCTATACAATCAGCCTCATGTTGTGATAGAATGCCACTTTATTCTTACAAATGCGCGCCGCAGACTCGAGGTGCTTGACTTTGTCCGCCATGACTTAATCACCAACAAGGGCCGTACCCGGGACAGCCGTCAGCTGGATTTACCATTGGAACTGCTCCCTGGGGCGCTCGCACTCATGACGGAGGTACGTGCCTCCGAGTCGTCGGGCAGGTCCACACCCCTCGCCGCAAGAGACGATCCTAGCTTCACACGGGGTGGCCCCATCTTTGCACGGAGAAATTCGAGCTCGGAAAATAATGGCCGTGCAGGTGGGCCAGTGCCAGCTCGCACTTGACATTGCTGCGGAGCTATTGCGGACCGAAGAAGATATGCCGGAGGCAGTGCGGCGCGATGTGTTGCTCAGCATGGCGTTGGCAAATTGCGGGCTGGCCGGCGAGAGCCTCGAGGGCAAAAGCTCGCAAGTGAGTATTGTGATTCTGTACTCGCGCTTCCTATGGAAGTGATGTAGCAAGCAGAGTACTGTGGCACCATAACATCAGCAACCTCTGTGATGCGGCGTTTCATTACAATTCATCCTCATAGCAAGCAGAGTTTGATGCCTAATAGCGGACAAGCACCCTTTTGAGCCCACACCCGTTTCACTGTGCATGTGCAACCGCAGCAGCTCGCCCAGGGTTGCAATTTCTTGGAGGCTGCTTTGCAAGCACTGGAGGCCGCAGGGGACCCGCCCCTTGCACCAGCTTTAGCATGCGAAATTCGGCAGGGGCTTACGGGCCTTCAATTCCAAGGAGCTTTGGAGCTGGTAAGGTGCAGGAAAGTGCTCAGGCGAGCATGTCCCCAACATGGCTCCAAGCACTAGTAAAACAGATGCATGTCTCGCGCTGGGCACCAACGCGGCTGAGGTATCAGCAGGAACGTTTTCCTATTTAGCTGTGGTAATGTCCGCTCAGATTACCGTGAGGTTTAAGTTGGGACAAACCATTCAATCCAATTACCGCCAAGAGTTGTCGCCTCGGCATTTTCCCCCTGTCTTGCTCCGTAGCTGAGCGGGCCAACCGGTTCGGATAGAGCGGCGGCCCGCAAGCGGGCTCTTCGCGTCGTGCGTGATGCCTTGCGACCGCCGCCGCAAACGGGCCTAGGACTGGGCGGTGTCCGCGCCGCCGTAAGTGGGTCCGTGGGCGGGGTCGTGGCCACGACTGCCCAAAGCAGCCTGCTGGCTGGGCCTACAGTGACCTCGGAATCCATGGAAACCCTGATGGGCGTGCTGACGTGTGAGGAGGTGGTGCACCTGCTTGAATGGGAGCCAGTGGCCAACGACCCAGCCATTTACAAATGGTAGGCCACCTTTAAACGAAGTGCATGTTATTGCGTTAGCTGCACAGGAGTTGCAGCTTGGCATCCTAGAAACGTGGTTGGCAGCAGGCAGTTCCATGTAAAGATAGCTTTGGTCTAGTCTTCGTCCGTTTTGGACTGAAACGTTATTCTTATTGAGGCTTCCCAGGACACGTGCCAGAAAGCTTGAGCTTACAAGCTTCGCGTTTTCACTCGCGACTGCAGGATTTATCCAGGGCTGCTAGAAGCGGTCAGTGTGGCGCATGTCGTGCACGGGTTCGTATGTCGCCAACCCGCTTATATCAAGATGGGGCTCGGGCTCGTGCAGGTGCGTATGTAGCATAAATAATTCCTGTTCTCAGTGCAACGGCCAAGGTAAAAAAACGTTGGAAATGCTCACCGAGTCCTCCGTTGGAGTGCTTTGCAGCAACTACCAGCCACGCCGGACTTGCACGTGGTTGAGGGCGTGTGCCATGTACTGCTTGGAGCCGTTAATCAGGCAGCGGAGGCCCTGAAGCAAGCCGAACGATTCAGGGGCAAGGGAGCCAGCGGTGACAGGTGAGGCTAGACGGTGCCGAAGAGGCTAGCTACGTTAACGCGCCAGGAAAATTGATTGGGCGGCATTGTGGTGTGTCATTGATACAAAACACGCATACGCTTGGTGCTAGGACCAACTATGCGCCCTGTTCTCGGGGCCATTGCAACTTTTACTTGCAGCAGAGGCCCAATGGCAAGTTGTTCTCCCGGCTGTGCAGGCATTCTCTTAAAGACTTAAAGCCAGCCTCTGGAGTACTGCCTGCGAGCCACGATGCATATCGCTTTGTGGTGGGCAAGTCGGCAGGTTCGGACGATGGGCTGCTGCCCGGACTGTGCATGTTGACAGAAAGGTGGCTTACACAGGTGGGTCGTGAGGCTTGAACAGGAGACTACGGCGCGCGTCCTTCGAAACCTCCAGTCCCAGCTGGAGGGTACTAATCAGCATGAACAGCCAGCTGTGATGACCGTCGGGCAGAGCTCTTCACTGGGTCCCAGAAATCTTGCGTCAGATGGGTTCTTATCGCCATCAGAATGCATGATCCACCCAGCGCGTTTATTGCTGTCCGTTGCTACTATTGATACCTTCATGTGAGTCCTGTAACCTTTGTTTGATCCCTTTACCAGGCGGCGTTCCCGTTCTTCCGCGACACCGCCGGCTCAGAGACACCCTCAGTGTCACTTGTCAAGTATTTTGACGACACGCGCGTGGAGACTCTGCTGACCGTATACGATGCAAAGAGCGGGGGTCAACTGGCGGAGACCCTAAGCGAGGCCTTCACATCTATTAAGCGCGGTCTGCGGAAGGCTGCGGCGGCGGGACTGCTGGCGACGGCGGGCAGCTCCGGAGCCGGTGCGTTTGTTGCTGTTCATCCTGCTGCTGTCGTTGCGTATCCACCGTCCATTCATCTAGGGCTGCGGAGCCGCTTAAAACGAGATTTTACTGCAGCACTGGGTCGGTTGGGTTGAGAGCAGACGATCTTAGCGCTTTCCTACTTCACTATGGGCTGGATGGACGCAGGCGAGGCAGGAGACGCAGCCACGGGCTCGGTTCTCGCTGAGCGTAAGAAGAAGCTCCTCCGTGTGGTGGTTGGTGGCGCTGCACTCTTGGCGGCTGTCGGCGTGGGACTCCTCACCCCTCCAGGGCAACGCCTGCTTGCCAAAAGCAATAGCGCGCAACTTGCGGCGGTACGGCAGCGGGCCGCGCCGCAGCCGTTAATAATCGCGCCGGAGGAGTTCGACGCGGCGGTTGCCAAGACGCTACTCGAGCGGTGGCAGGTCAGGATGTTTGCTTTTGCCTATGGCAACGGTAGTACAACGACCTTCAGTGCACGCATGACGTAACTGTTCTGTCGTTGTGGCTTGCACATTTCTCAGATCACTAAGGCACTGGCGCTGGGTGCGTCTCACGCCACGGAGCAGCTCGATGTCCTGCTTGCCGAGCCGCTGCTGGGTGAGACACTGGACAAGGTTGCCACGCTGCGCAGCCATGGAGCGCATATGCGATTCAAGCTACTGCGACTCGAGGTAAGATAGCTGCACATAATGAGGCTAGTGGATATCTGCCGACGTAAACTGTGGCTGCATGATCATGCAGGTGCTAGGCTTGCGGCGCATGGCCCAAAAGACTGGTCCCGCTGTGCGTATAAACGCGCAGCTGGAGGAATCTGCGGACCTGCATAATGATGCTGATGGCAAGCCTGTGAATACTTGCCGACGGACCTACGACGCTGAGTACACCGTTGTGCAGGGCAGGGACGGTGTCTGGAGGATGACTAGCACTTTGGTCGTCGAGCGAGAGGCACGTGATTAATTTGTTATTGATTGATAGCAGAGGTTGGCGTAAGAGGACTGGCGTAGTCGCAGCGAGCAACTTTTGGATGGGGTCAACCGTATGCAGGCAGTTGCATAAAGATTTAGGTTTCCCTGTTCAATAGGCCCCCATATTTGACCGCAGGATGATGTAGCTATAGATACGCATTTATGTATATTTACACATATACAAGTTCCTGCTAAATATACTGGTGTTCAAACGACACGATATGATCGTGGAAATTGCGCAAAAAATGTGTAGCTATGCGCATGTGTTAAACAATTGTAAATTCAACGTCAGAAATGTATCAATATCAAAATAGTTTGGCAGTTATGACATTGTGCGCACAAATGTTGACAATAAAAACCCGTTTCGCTTCCAGTCAACGCGAACAGTATGTAAGGCAGGTCAAACAAACAAAACCATTCCTACGTTGTGCCGAAAATGAAGTCGCACTGATGAGCGCGCGGAGAAATAAGATTGACGCTGACAACAATCGCTCTAAAATTTAACCATTTTACGATGACATGCATAACATCGACATTATCCGCAATTGGACAATGCACGTAACACAACAGAAATAGTTACCAGAGCATGCGCCAATAACCCAGCAAGGTTATTACTAACACCACACCACAATATTGAACCTGAAACTACGCAGCGGATCATGTCGGTAATAAAAGAAGATCGAACGCCATCACAGAAAAATTTAGGGCCAAATGAGACGTGCATGTTGCCATTGAGTTGATATCTATCAATGCCAGCGCGCCTATGCCCACCAGATGCTCCTGAGTGTTTCCAGTACACTAGCTCAGCCTGCTTAATCCGCTCATCAAGATACAGCTATGTACCTTGCAGCAAATCCCGTTGCTTTCGTATATCCCCACAACCGATGCCCTGCTACGCCCATACATTGCAAACTTCATGCCCGATGGTCTTACGATTGGCAAGTCCTGCAGGAGACACCAAGGTCTATATGCAAAGACGCGCACACAGCGCCGAAGACACACGGCGTTGGCGCAAATCATGTTATGGGGAGTCGCTAGTAAGCACCGAATACATATGTAAAGGGCAAATCGCCACCCAGCCGGTGCGCTTAGACCCAATGTACTTGCTTTGCGTTTTGCAACATGCTCGTCTACCTGCGGTCAACCTAGGTGAAACATGTTGCCTGGCCGTCTAACCAGCAAAGCGACTCTTCCCCGGCGTTTTCCGGCTGCCAACAGCGGCGATGGGAGAACTGCTTTGCCAAACAGGTTTCAGCTGCGTCGTGGAGCTGGTGTATGCACTTGGCATCCTGCTGATGTTGGCTGGGCAAATGCTCGCACTGCGTTGCACAAGCCCCAATTCATCCTGCTCGCCCAGCCCGCTAGTGCTCTGCGGCATGTTCTGCAGGCTGGCAAAAGATGCAATTGAAATGCTACTGCTGCCGCTGGCGCCGCTGTCGTTGCGCACGTACACGCGGTCCGCCGCGATCACCTGGTCCATGGAGCCGGTGGAGGAGTCACGGCTGGGATACTGCGATGCGCCCAGACGGTTAATAGCCGTGCCGGTATCAGGGTCAAGTGTTGTCTCCACCTCTCCGGACTCCGACATTCGGAGGTGTCGTTCCAAAGACGCCTGCTGCTCCGATTGCGCCTCACACAGCTGCGTCCGCACATCCGAGTTGCTGGGTGAGGTAGCTGTGCTATCGCCAGCAGTGGCCCCTGGCAAGGTCCTACGATCGTGTCCGGGTGATACCTTCAAGTCGTCTTCCTACAGCACATACAACGAAGCGTTGGCCAGCCATCCTTGGCACTTCCCCAAAGCGCTCGAAATGCAGATAAACTAGGCACAACCACATATGACGCCAAGGTACGCGTTAAAGGAGCTACAGGACCTAAGGTAACTTTCGCTGCTTTGCTCGCCAAATTGTATGCAGCGTAGCTCTCTGTTCCAAGCCCAGCCCCTACCCAGCGTGCCGCCCGGCATGGGTCGTCGCCCGTGCTCAGCGCCTTGCGTAATGAACTTGCCGGTGACAACAGCAGGCGGTTCGGCAGCGGGACGTTGGGCCTGAGTACTCCTGGGCTTGCAATGGATAGCTCGGTCCTGGCGGATTACACAGTATTTACAAGGGCAGAAATATAAGTTGCGGCGAGCTGAGGTACGATAATGAATCCCTCCCCTTGCCCCTGTACATCATACATGCAGTAATGCTCATGTAAATTAAGACCGGTCACGGCTCACCAGCTGGCCGCCAGCCACGATTTCAGCACGCCAACAGTGATCAAGCCACCCGTCGCCACTGACGGATCCGGTATCTTCCCTCCGAAGTAATGACGGAGCCACGGGTGTTGTAATAGCTGCTCTGCCGACGGCCGTAGGTCGGCGTCTTTCGTCAAAGCCTGGGCTACGAAATCACGGGCATACTGGGAAATGTGGACCGGGAAGTCCGATGCCTGACCAGATAAAATAAGTCGTGCCGTTTCCTGTGGGTCGTCAACCTCGAAAGGAGGACGCCCCACAAGTAGTTCATAGACAAGGACACCGGTGGCCCAAATGTCAATCTTCTCGTCGTATGCCTTAACTCCATCCGATGCCTGCCCTGGGACATCCTCGTGGTCATCGTGCTTAGGTATGCTCAGCACTTCAGGCGCCATGTAGTCTAACGTGCCGACGCGCTCCGTCATCCGGTCCTGGAACTTGTGACCCGCAAGCCCGAAATCACCCAGGGCTATTTCACCCGTCTCCGTAAGGAAGATATTTTCTGGCTTAATGTCTCGATGGATGATGTGCAGTTTGTGTAGTTGTTGCAGAACGGACAGCAGCGGAAAGACAACCTGAAGAGTGGGCGGGAAGTCAGGGGTACGTGGAACGGAGAGTATCTCAGCTCCTGGACACAGATCCGCCCTCGAGGTATCCCGGACACGGACCAGCAACCGCCACCCATTGTCAGCTACAATTACCCTTACCTTTGTTACGAGGTACTCCTCGTGTAATGTACCACGATTGCGTATGAGATGTGCATATAAGTCACCCCCCATGCACGCCTCGAATACGAGGTAAACCAATGCTTTGTCTTCGAAGACTGCCAGCAATCCAACAACACCTTTGCAGCTGCAAAAACAAAATTTCAAGTGGCATGTCTGAACAGCATCACAAAATATACAGAGGGTACCAAAACTCACCCGACTTCCCGAAAGAATTGCAAAAGGCTGATCTCTCTGCGGACATTACTCAATTGGCGGGGCGTCAAGGTATCCCTGTTATACCCCTTTATCACTACTGTTACGCCAGTCCGAGCACACACAGCAGACCAAACCGTTGAATGCCTGCAAGGTCATGAAAACTTATGCTGGGTGCTACAAGGAAATGAGAGAACAAGGACACGCCGAGCCGCCTCACACTGTAAGCATGGGTTGCGGAGCTCCTAGGTTACGCTTGCCTCACCTGCCCTCATGGAGTTTGTTAAGGTCACGGAAGGAACTGATGCTGTCATACGCGTTCGATGCAGAAGCTGTTGGAAGGGTAAACGTGAAGGGTGGCCCGGTTGCAGGCGTGACCGATGGTGCCCAGTCTGCCGACAAGGGTGATGCAATTGATTCGGTTTCACAGGATTTTCGTCCTAGCGGCTCCTCGTTAAGCCTGCAAGTGGATTCTCGCGGATATCAATGACTGCACCAATCACTGCTTCATCAATAACCCGCTGCTACTATAAGTCTCACCTATTGCCTGGCCTTATCGGTGCCATAGGATGGAGCGCATGGGGTTCGGAGTGGACAACACCAAGCGGTTTGAGGCGACTTCCCTAATCATAGAACATTGAAACTTACAACAATTGTCAACTTTATATAAATAACCTGGCAAAGTAATTCTTGCTGGGCAGCTACATGATGCATGTCAACGGCTCTAGTACAGTCGAACGGCAAGGGACTCTGCCTTAGCTACACAGGTCAGGAAATCCTAGAAAGAGAAATCCAAACCTCGACAAAGAGTCATTTGTTCCTGGATGAAAGAACATGGGGCCTAAAGTCGGAGTTGGTGTCCTCATATTTCGTGAGCAGTGCGTGCTGGTTGGCCTAAGGTAGGGTTGAGGATACCGGTATAACATTGTCCACACGTGGAAATGATACCTAGTCATCCAGTATCGATACATAAAAATGCTCTACTTGCAGTGTATGTGGTTATGTTTTTGCGCACACCCGAGCATGCTTTAGCGTACATTTCAGACATTCCTTCTACAGTTCCTTCAAACCCACTAGATGCTTGCGTAACGGTGCTAATCCCCGTAGACGTGGCTCCCACGGCTCCGGAACCTACGCACTCCCGGGTAGGGACGGCCATTGTGTCGCTTGAATATTTCCCTGGGATTCCATGACGACCATGTGTGAGAGCTACTTGTGGTGTTCTCCAAGCGGGAACGGGGTCCTGATCGTGCGGTCCCGCTAAGTACAGCCAGCTCTACTCAGGTTAATTTACTAAAGCGCGTTGGTGCTGTCGTGATAGGGGATGGCTGCTTCCTTTCGCAGGCGGACACCTGGAGCTGGGCGAGAGCTTCGAGCATTGTGCCATCAGGTGGGTCGTGGTGGGTAAGACAACCCGGGGGGGATAGCTTATTTCCAAGAAGAGTGGACCGCTTCGAGCCTGTTTTTTGGGGACGCTTGCACTTCAAAGACTTCGATGAACAGCAGCACACATGGTTTCATTCAATCCTTGCCAGGCAGGATTATTTTTCGTCACTTTGTTGTCTGCAGCAGTAAATGCAACAACCAACTGATTTGCGTGGGAAGGACTGCTGATCCAGGAGAGATATCGTGCTTCCGTGTGCTTCCGGCAAGATGCAACAGTGGCGCCATCCTAATCGAATTATTGTCTCTACTTTTATGGATTCCAACATAAGCTTGGCTAACGCTATGCCAGTCAACTCCTAAGCCGCAATTGTAGCTGATGGTCCGCCGCCTATGCTGTGCAGGGAGGTAGCTGAGGAAACTGGCATCGAGATCAGCGACCCTGTTTTCGCTTACGCTGTGAACTGCGTTTTCGATATGACTACACATTACGTCACGGTGTTTATGCGGGTGGACGTAGAACAGGTACATTAGCCTTTTGCCTTCGGTCCAGTCAGAGACCGGGATGCCGAAATGCTGCTATTGAACCGCAATGCTCCGGCAGAATAAACGTCTGTCGACGACTGGTGGCCGACTTATGAGGCGCCTACCCCTAGGTGTACCCACTATATTGCCCTGATTGTGATATGATGTACAATAGTTTACCAGCACAAGTAACAGCCAAGCTGTACCAAGAGAGCGTTGCCACAGCTGCTCACATCATGGACTTCGTTACGCCACACAACGCGTCACAACATGCACTTCGCTATCGGCGCCCTGGCGGCTTCTTCCTAAATCCCCCTTCAGTCCCCTGGGTTCGTGTGCCCTGAATGCGCAGGATGTGGAGCCCAGGCTTATGGAACCGGACAAATGCGACGGGTGGCAATGGGTTCCATGGGACGCTATACCAGAGCCACTGTTTCTGCCTTTGAAAGCACTCAAGGAGTCTTCCTACCGTCCGTTTGGGTAGCAAGTCTAAAAATCGCAACCGGTCACCATGCTATGGCAAGTGGCGCACGCCAACCTCACGCTGGTCCAGCCCAACCGGGCATGGAGCAACCTTATGCCGCGCTGATGATGTGGATATGACGTGTGTTTCGCGGGGCCCGCTTCTTACTTGGAAATGTAATATCAAGAAGTGTGCATGTGGCAGGTTACAGTCTATGTCAGACCTTCGTGACAAACAGCCAAAACTCTTTCGGTGCCTTAAATCAGCAGATGTCAGGAACAAACCACACTTCCAAGTCCTCAGCACAAGCTAAACGGGTCGTCGACCCCAGTACGAGGACACCTTGTGCATTTCGTGCAACATGAATCGAGCTGCAAGCTGAGGGCATAAAACCATAGATGTGCTGGATGACCGTTGGACTCTTCAAACTCAATGGCCGCTATGCATGACACTCTAGAATGCAATAATATACCGCTCCCGCAGCGGTGCTAACGCACTCGTTGGTATGCTGGTGTCTATTGCTGGCTCCTCTGGGCCCACTTGCCACGATGTATCACACCCTGCACTTGTGCAGGCACCGCAGCAGCCTGAGCACCCGCGGGCTGCGGCCGTGACGATTGTTGCTGTATGATCGCCTTGACGGCAGTCTGCGCCTTTCCTTGCTGCTTTGCCTGCTGCTGCTTCTGGGCCATCTTGCTCCTCTCCTGCACAGCGGCATCGAAATTAGAGTTGTCGCCGAAATACCTCACACCTGGCACGAAGTACGCGTCATACTCCCCATCGCCTCACCTCAACAAGCGCCGCTGCAGCAAGTAAACCCTGTGCGTTAAGGACAGGTGCCGCGCCTATGACTGCGCTTGAACGCTTGGCTGACCCAGCACGAGCAGGCTTTGCAGCAGCAGACGCCGTTGAGGGTTGCCGTGATGCGCTTCCCACGGCTCCCGTCGCCGTTCCAGCTGCCGTAGTCTCCACCTGGTACGCCGCTCTGGTGCTCACACTGGCATCTTTGACATCGCCGCTGGTGCTCGCCCCTCCTCCCACTGCCGCGTACTGTCCGGTCGCGTGGTCGTACGAGTACCATTGGTTTGTGGACCGATGATAATACAAGCCTGTGTTGGCATCGTAGTAATAGCCGCTTGCTGCATCATACCAATACCCAGAAGTCGGATCGTAAACGAAACCAGCCGGCGTTTGTTCCTGTCCCTGCGCCTGTCCCTGCGCGGAGCCCCCGGATGTGCCTGCCTGCTCTTGTTCCTGCGATTTGTTAAGCTGTTCCTGCTGTCCGTCTGGAGCATCGCCGTCCAGCGCTCGCGCGTCAAAGGCCTTCGGTTCCCAGTTACTATACGCAGACATGGCCTGCAGAATTTGGTGCATAAACGCAGCAAACAGGCAGACGATAGAGCACTGAAAAGCTATTGCAGATGCTCCGTTCGGAAGAATTGCTTAAGATCCATCCTCAAGCAAAGATACATAATATACACAAACAGGTTGAGGCTCCTGTTGGGCGCACTAGGAATGGCTAAGACCCAGCTGTTAACCCATTACCCATAGCTTGATGTTTACCAGTCTTACCTGTGCGGCCTCCAAAGCTTCCGCTCCAGCCGAAGTGCCAGCGGGCCCAGCACCTGTGCCGCCGAACTTGTCACGCGCGTAACATAACCGCAAGGGCTGCGAGCTTCCCGACGGCACTACGCCATTAAGCAGCCCAAGCGCCCGAGTGGCCTCGCCAACACTAAACATCTCAACGAAAGCCAATCCACGTGGCAGGCCTGTATACTTGTCGAGCACCAGCCGTACGTCCTTTACTGACACGTGCGCTAGGAAGAGTGACCGCAGGTCATCGTCACTGCGCCAGGCAAAGAGAAGGAGTAGTTATGAGTTCCGTAATCAAAGTGTTCAAGTGCCCTACCGAAAGCATGTCAGACCTGGCAGCAAAGCTGGCCGGACAAGTGTGGCCTGCAATCCAATTTGTCCTGCTGTATAAACCAAATCACAGTAATCCTGGACTCGATCACATGCAAGCCGTCCAACTGCGTCTGTGCATTTCCATCCTGCCCTTCCACCCTTGCTCCTATATTACTTAACCCTCTTACGTGAGATGAGGTTCCAAGTTGGACACCTTAAGGATGGGGGAGGGCGCATGCGCCTCGGCAGCAGCGCGCTGCGGGTTGCTGGGACGCGTCGTCGAGCACTTGTGACACTCAATGCGCCTGCGAGTCGGTCGGCAGCTGGCGATGATGACGACAATACAGCTATAATCGGCCAAGCCGTACAGGTCTCCAGGGCACCCAGCACGCGACATTGTCAGGTAGACAACGCTACGAACAACCGGCGCAGCAGTCAACGGAATGCAACTACCGCAAGCAGTACAGGGTTGGCCAAGGAGCCCAACGAAATGCGCCCAACGAACACCCATCCATTGCCAAAAAACTCACCTCGCAAAGTTCACGGCGCTGCACATATCGCAGATCCAGTCCAACGTGTTGGCTGCGGGCGGCAGCATGGCAGGTACGCAGTGCGCATATTCCAACCACAGTGTGTTTCCCCCCAGCTGCAAGCCGTGCCTGCGGGCCGCGGGGCAGTGCAACGGACGCGGTGCACCGCGTGAAGACAACACGGACAAAGATCGGCAAAAACAATTTATTGCAGCCATAACCTCCTATGGCAGATGAAACAATAACATTAAGCTAGCAAAACCCCACGTGCCTAGGACGCACCTCCTTTAACGCATGCCCAAGATTGCCCTTGCCCGATTGCCCTTCCAATCCTTAACCTCCGCCTCCGATGTGTTCGGATTTGCAAGGTTATGGCGTCTGTCTCCTGGACGGAAAACCTGGATATCCAATGACGTGACGGCGTTGCAGCCTATGCCTGCCCCTTCCCTGAGAGCGTGCACTACGTTCATATCAGGTAACGCATATGCGCCAGGTGGCTCTGTCCGGATTCAATCATACTTAAACAGCCGAACAAAAAGCGCTATCCAAACCAAGCGCCGTACCGGGCTTTCGTTTCCATAAGCACAGCTGCGTCCGCCTCTGTAGCGAACTCCACAAAGGCATTTCCACGGGATGCGCCGCTGGTGCGCGAGCGAACCAACCTCACCGACAAGAGGCCGGAGAAGCCTTCAAACAGCTGCCGCACCTCAGATTCGTCACGGTCTTCCGGAATGTTCTGCATGTTATGACCGCCATAAGTCAAAAGCGGGGCAAAGTTATGAGCTTAAGCATTCATAGCTCTATGCTATCCTTGTTGACAAGGGCAGATGGACGAAGCAGAAATCTGAGCTGCCACAAGGTTTTAAAGGCCACTAGCAAGCGCAGACTCCCATGCGGCGTGGTGTTTGCGCCATGCTGAAAGTATACGGTTGCTTAAAGCTTCACAGCGTACCTCCCGCGTTCACAGCGTACCTCCCGCGACCGAAGCGGGCGAAAGCAGAATAACAACGCCTTTCACCGCCGCCCGCACGGCCCCTGTAAGGTCCATCGGACTCACCCGAACGTGCACCAGGTTGCTAGGCTGGCCCCTGCGGCTCCGCCAGGTGTCAAAAGCGTCATCCGCATCCACGGAACGGCTGCGACGGCCGTCCATGCCGCCATCCAAATCATCCATGCGTGAGGAATATCGCCGGCGACCTGTACGATGAGATATAGCCATTCGCGCAGTATAACTGAACCGCGAAGTTGGGTAAAAAGCTCATAAATGCTAGAAAAAACGGAGGACCAAGGATTCCGGGTATACAACATTTTGCGTTATTGACATCTTGTGTCGGACCTACGTGGCCCGTGTACGGGCCAGGCCTTTCCCGCAACGGTCTCGCCGGATCGTTGCATATCAGCACACGCAAGATGTGTGTGGTCACTCCACTACGGCCTAAGCAGCTGCTTTTATGTAATGCGTGGTATCATAAAGAAACTTCGCACAATTAACTTGTGGCCAGGCACGATTCTACCCGAAACTCACCATAACCATCGTCATCGTCACGGCTGTAGCGCCTGTCATACCGATCACGGCCTTCTCGGCGATCCCGGTCTCGATCGTCACGGCTGCGATCTCTGTCAAACCGATCCTCATCGCGACAACGCGAACGGTCGTAGCCGCCGCGGTCCCTGTCGTATCGGTCGCGATCACTATCGTATCGAGTTCGCGACCGTGAGCGGCTGCGCTGTCGCCGGTCCGGACTTCTACTCCGACGGCTTGATCTGCAGCCGCACAAGGTGACCGGAGCTGAGTCAATCTGGGCTGCCGTCAACGGATGCAGTCCATTAGTAAGGACACGTTAGGTAAAGCCAAGATGAGGACGTTCTCACATATTACCGCGGCAAATGACTTCCAAAATGGATTGATGGCAAACCCCAAGCCCTCACCTGTTGTCACGGTGGTCATCATCTCGCCTCTCTCGGTCCCGGTCCCTATCAAAATCCCTGTCTCGATCCGTCGAACCAGTCTCCAGCCGGCGGCCCTCGCGATCCCGACCCGAATCCCGCTCCAAGCTGCTGCTCCTAAGGCGGCCACTATGGTCCCTGTCCCTATCACGATCTCGATCCCGACCGTGATCACGGCGGTCACGATCGCGATCTCGGTCGCTGTCACGGCACCTTTCCCTGCTCCGGCTGCGACTGCGGGTCATGCTGTCCAGCTGTGCTGGGGCCTCCACAACATACTGGTGTTGCATCTGGTATTGTGGCTGAAGCTGAGGCGGTGGAGGATACGCTGGCTGTGGGATTTGTTCTAGTGGTTGAAACCGAGGGACTTGCTGAGACGTGGCGCCGCCTACCTGAGCTGGTGGTAGAAGCAAGTCAGGCGGTGGGTACGACGTCACGTCAATGCCCAGTCCGCCGAATTGCGCCGGAGGCTGTTGTGGGTAGACAGGCCACGGGGCATGCCCTGGTGCAGCTGTCGGTGCGCCTTGCGGTTGTCCGAAGTGCTCCGCATAAGGTCCACCTGGTTTCCAAAGCCAACAAAGTGGCTGTTAGCACAGATAAGGCTGGGCCGTTTGCAGCAGGACTGCTCGGTTGGTTGGGTTTGGCACCCAGGACCAGAAGCGCAGAAGCGTGCTTGGGCGGTATTGATGCCTTTGAGAGGCTGACGCTTGCCCGAAGGTAACAGAGAGCCACCTTGACTGCCTCCAGCATGGTTCCATCCATAGCTTTGCTCCCTGCACACGCGTGTATGTAATTTTCAGCAGTTATTTCAGAAACGTTTACGGCATCTCATGGAAAAAGAGAAGCTCACGTGGGATTAGCCATGACTCCGATGCGCAGAAGCTACGCAGGGCCGGAGAAGGGGAGGGCGTCAAATGAGCGAAACGCACTGCATACTGGACACACATATAGCTTCTTGGGTCCTTACAGCGGAGCGCCTTCCTGGAACAATAAAAAGAAATGCTGGGAACTTTCTGACTAGCTGCACTGTGCTGACCACATCAACTTAAGAAACGTCCTGCTTTCATAATAGGCCTCTCAGAGTAAGAGCGTGATCCTTTATACAGCCACTCTACGGACGAAGCGCCCTTTAGTGTCGCACCTAAGCTCGGTTGCTGTACGGGATTGTAGATGCCATACCTGTACGCAATACGGTGACCCTTTTGGGCGTTAGGTGGACTGCTGAATTAAGCTGAGGAGCGGCTTTTCCACATTCACGATAGTGTTCATATAATATTCAGGAAACGGACCCAAACCAGTGAGACTAACATTGACGGCCAGGCCATGGAGTCCCGGAAAGGCTTGCCGCCCCAAGAAGTCCTGCAGCTCTTGTATGGCAATGGTGATGTATCCCATCCCTCACTCATTGACCTCCGCGACTGTAGCAAGTTCATGGTGTCAAGGCTCCGCGGGAGCTACAGCGTTCCCCTGGAGTTCTTGGTGCCGAGGATGGTAAGTCCTCGAGGTCCTGATACTCCACACTAGGGGGAAGCACGGTAGGTCCAATAAAGGTTACACACCTGGTTTGGGTGCTTATACCGCCCTGATGTGCACCTTCACGGAGGGAGCTCGGCGTCTTTTCCCTGCCACGTACTGGGTAATTGGACATACACCACCCAACACCCTTTGTTTCTCTCCTCCCTCTGGAAACATGCATGCGCTCGTCAGTTCCTCCTGCCCGATCGAGCCACACCACTCGCTCTGGTAGTTGAAGGCCCACCCGTCCAGCAAATGGTTCGGGGTGCAGCCTCCGGCGGTGGAGCTAAGGAGGATATTCAACTTACGGCATTCCTAGAGTCTCGCGGGTGGCGCGTGGCCTTCTGCATTGAGGCTACGGATGATCTGTGGCGTATGGCTGCAGATATAGGCGCGCTCGAGGAGGGAGGCTGCCCACTGGCCCTGAAGCGGCGGTGGCCTTTCCGGCCCAGCACACTCCTAATGGAGCAGATAGACCTCATAGAGGAGTTGCTGGTGAAAGCCAGGCTACAGCAAGGCCAGGCAATTGCCGGCGAAGCGGATAGGGCAGGTGCCGTTGACGGTGGGCGGCAGGGAGCAAATGGCCGCAACAAGCGGAACGTGATGCTGCGGATGTTGGACGTGGGATGCGGCAGCGGTCGGGACCTGGCATGGTTGGCGACGCGAAGCTCCGACGTCCCATTTTTGGCTGATGGTGAGGGGGAACACGACCACGGTGCCGACACTGGACGGGAGAAGATTCTACAGGTGTCATGGGAATGCGTCGGTCTCGATTCGTGGCATGGCGCCCTGCAGCGGGCTGCTGAGATACTGGCTTTGGGGGAGGTATCGGCCGGGCCAGGTGGCGTACAACTGCATTTGGCACAGATTGGCCCCGGCACTGGCGAGCTGTGGATGCTGCCATTGCCGGCTGCGGATGCGGGCCAGCTGCAGCTCCTGCGGCGCTACCTGGTCGGTATGCAGCAGGAGCAGATGGGGGAAGGGCCCCAGGCACATGGCGAATTCAAGTCCCCGTGCAAGGCAAGCAAGACGCCCAGAAACATTGCCGCAAAGGCTGGTGGTAATGGCGGTTCGAGGGAGGCATTGGAGCTTTCGACACTAGGATGCTTTGACTTGGTTGTGTGCTTCCGTTTCCTGGAGCGTTCGTTCCTACAAAATATGGCAGGTCTGCTAAAGCCGGGCGGCTTCATCTTGTTTTCGACGTTTGTGGATGGACCGGGATTGCGCGCGTTTGGGCGGCCACAGGGCCGGGAACACGTGCTACAGGCTGACGAGCTGGCCACAAGCTTCTTTGGGCATAAGCAAGGCTTCAAGGTTTTCCGTGACGATGTCGCGCCGATTTCCGATGGACGTGAGGTCAGCATGTTTTGCGCTCGCAAGCTATAGACGGCAGGATGACGAAGGTGGCAACAAGTTGGATCACGGGCCCACATGGATTGCATATGCTTCAATGCTATTTATTCATCCCGGTGGTATGGGTCGCTTCATACCCATAGGAGAACCGGGTGGGACATGGTTTTACCACGAAATGTGCGCAATTGTGTGACACCCTGCCCCGGCCCGTGCAATACGACAAGGGCGCATTCGGAGACTAGTGCCCCACACACGGACAAGAAGCCATCAGTGCACCCCGACACTCCTCAGCCCAAAAAGCTTGACTTATCACAAAGCACACCCCGTTCCTTGGGACAGAATTGCATGTCAAACCATATGCTTCAATTAATGAGGACCGCCCCATGCTGTCAAGTGGTATGCATGGAGACAGACTACAGTGACACCTAAAAGCTAACAGTCAGCCTAAGCCTGAAATTAACCGTCAGAAACCGTCACAACGTCCGCACGCTTGGTCTTCAGGTGTTCGTATGTACAGAGCGCTTAGCCAGCATACAGCAGGAGAGGCTTTATATTTCCATCGTCATACAATGTAGCGCTGCACAGCAGCTTCATAGCACAATTTTGTCAAAGTCCCGCAGAAGTGTGTTGACGTGAGCAAGCAAATCATCGAGCGGCGACAGTGCTCCGCTGGCAGCGCGCCCTGGCCCAAGAGCTGGACCTCGCCTCTCCTCAACTGTGGCTCCAGCGCACGGTGCTCCGCCTGGTGCTGGCGGTATGTTGCTCAAGCGGCGCTTTGTCGGTACGCCGGGCGGAGTTCGCTCCCCTTCAGTTGGGGTCAGTGGCAGCTTGACCCCGGGCTGCTTTGCGCGTGCGCCCACGTTTATGTTTAAAGGCGGCTTGGTAACCCCACCCCCGGGAGATGCCAGCGGACTCGCGCGCGCCTTTAATACGGCATCAGGACTATTCTGATCGCCGTAATAGTCCGGGTTCCTGCAATCATGTGAGCACCAGTTGCTCCAATACCCAAGAACCTGACTAGCTCGCGGCAATACATTCCAATCAAGCACTCCTGCACTAGCCCCGACGCCTTAATTACATCATACCTGCTGTTTGTTCGTGGCTTTACGTATGACCAGTCGACTTTCCGCGCTTCGACTTTCGCAGACCGACGCCGGAGGAACGGCTTCGGCTGTACCTGGAATCCGACTCCGTCGACATCGCCCGTCTCGACGTCATCCACTTCTGGCACGCCTGCCTTAGACACGTGCTGCCTGGCGTCTCCCTGCTCAGGTACGTACAGCGCACGCGAGGCGGAGGCCTGGCGCGGAGGCTGCCGCTGCTGCCGCTGCATACTAGCACTATTCGACCGTCCTCGGGAGGCCTGCTGGATGAGAGGTGGACCCTGCTGTTCCTGCTCATCTACCACTTTAGGCTGTCCGGTCAACCTGTACGAGGTCCCGGGCGGGAACAGGGTCACAACCTTCCTAATGCGTATTGAATATATCTATAATATAAATATATTATAGATAGATATTAGTACATACATGCATACACACATAAATGTAAATAATATTAGAGGCGCCAACGCTAGGACATTGTGGCCTGCACATAGTAAACAACATTTCTATTACACAATTGAACAAATGCCATACCCATAGGTAAAATTACCTTGCCTGCAAATATATAGCCAGCCCCACTCACTCGTTAATAGTGCTAACATGGGCATTGTGGCGCATAATGCTCTGCTGCTTTAGGCGCAGCAGCGCCAGTGCCTTGGAATTGGGCTGCCCACCACCCTCGGTTGCGCTGGTGGCACGCAGCTGATTTTGCTCCTGAGCTGAAACACCTCCAGCGCTGATCGCATAGGGATTTGTGTCAGCTCCCGCGTCCGTCGCCGGTCTATCCGCAATCATGCAGTCGGACTGCCGTCGCCCGTCCGCATACTGACAACTTTGCTGTTGCGGCTGAGGGAGAGGGGGCTTTCCCTCGGCATTCTGCTTTGGCCGCTCATGTTGCAGCTTGTTTGCGTGCGTTCCTGCGGGCACCTGTCCATGCCTCTGCCATTGGGGCGGCGGGAGCTGTTGAAGGGCCCACTCGGCGCCTGAGTCACGGACAACTGCACTAGCTGCGGCAGGGGACGCCCAAGGGCTGCCACTGCTATTGTTGCAGCTGCTGGGCGAAGGCGGCACCGCCACCGTGGTATCCAGCCGCCCCGGGCCAGGCTTACCCTTGGCGTCGGTCTGCCATGCCCATTTGACCTGACCCGCCTCATTGGCGACGGTCACGTCAGAATTTTCGTGGGTTAGGTTGAGCACGTTGGCTATCGTTGCCTCTTTCTTGCTGCATGCAAGGGGCGCTCTCGCCTCAGTCACAGCTCCCTGTGTCGGCGCCGAGCTGATTGCGACGAGTAGCTGCGGACGCGAAACCACTACGGGCACAGCAGCTGATGCGGGGGTGTTGCCAAATGGTTGGGGCG